AAAGTTGAAGACAGAGAGGCAGATAAAAGTAGGTTGGCTGTTGGAAGGAAATTGTTGCCAACTCCAGGTTGGCAAATTCCTGGACATTTGAGGAGTGGAGCCTGGGGAGGGTGGGATTTGAGGAGGGGAGAAACTATAGGCCAGTATAATGCCATAGACTCCAACCTCCAAACCATACATGGAGGAGAGAAAGAAAGAAGGGGGGGCAGAAGGGAAAAAGAGTGTGAGAGAGGTAGGGGGAGTCAGGAGGAAGCAAAGGCGTGAGGAATAGGATAACCATCCCGCAAGTTTCTTGCGAGTCTCCACTTGTGTTTATCTAATTCCCTCTTGAAGCTGTCCATGCTTGTAGCCACCACCACCTCCTGTGGCAGTGAATTCCACGTGTTAATCACTCTTTGGGTGAAGTAGTACTTCCTTTTATCCGTTCTAACCAGACCGCTCAGCAATTTCATGGAGTGCCCACGAGTTTTTGTATTCTGAGAAAGGGAGAAAAATACGTCTTCCTCTACCTCCTCTATCCCATGCAAAATCTTACAAACCTCGATCCTGTCACCCCTCAGCCATCATTTCTCCAAGCTAAAGAGTCCCAAGCGCTTTCACCTTTCTTTCTTTTTAAAAAAAAACATTTTATTAGGATATATTTAGACCTATTAACATACATTTATGTTCAGCAATACAACCCTAACCTATATCCTACCCCCCACCCTTTCCCCCTCAACCGGCTTCCAGCAGTGCTCCGACCTCCAGCCCCATACTTCAATATCTGATTTTCCCAAGTATACATTTTTTCTACAGGTAACAATTATTTAAAATACAATCAAATTATTCCTATTGTACTATATTTCAATAATTATCAAAACAAAACAAAGTATCTTTTACATCTCTGTCTTTTCCCAAATATTCTTTTAAATCTTTCCAGTCCTCAAAGAAATCTTCTGCCTCCATATCTTTCCATTTTCGTGTCATTTTGTCCATTTCTACCAGAAAAAGTAGTTTTCTTATCCAATCATTAACTTCTGGTACTTGTTCTTGTTTCCAGTATTGGGCATATGTCATTCTTGCAGCCGTAATCATATACCACATTAAAGTTCTTTTCTCCATATTAACTTCTTCCATTTTCAGTCCCAATAGTAGAATTTCTGGTTCTTTTTTAAACTTACACTTTGTAATTTTCTCCATTTCTTCATGAATCTCAGCCTAAAAGTTTTTAGCTTTTTCACAAGTCCACCACATGTGATAAAATGAGCCTTCCATTTTTTTACATTTCCATCATTTACTAGACATATTGGTATTCATATTAGCAATCTTTTTAGGTGTCATATACCATCTGTACATCATCTTATAACAATTTTCTTTTAAGTTAATACAAGTTGACAATTTTAACGCTTTTTTCCATAAAAATTCCCATGATGACATTGTAATTTCTTTATTCATATTAATAGCCCATTTTATCATTGATTCTTTTACTACTTCATCTTCAGTATACCATTGTAACAGCACTTTATACACTTTTGAAATTACTTTTTTCTCCCCTTCAAACCATACCCTCTCTATTTCATTCAATTTTTCTCTAAAACCATACGTTTTTTATCTTTCTTAAAGAATTCCGTTATTTGTCTATGTTGAAGCCACCCATATTTAACAGTTATTTCATCTTGTTCCTTCATTACAAAATTTTTCCCTTCAGTTTTCAATAAGTCTCTATACGTTACCCAATTTCCCCCCTTATGGACAGTAAATGGTGTTATAACTTCTGCAGGGACAATCCAAAGAGGTCTCTCATCCGAGAAGTACCTCTTATACTTATTCCATGTATCGTATAGATTCCTCCTAATATAATGGTGCTTAAAAAAACCATCAACTTTCTGTTTATCGTACCACAAATATGCATGCCAACCAAATTTACAGTCATGACCTTCCAGTGCCAAAAGTTTTATGTTACTAAGCGTAACCCATTGTTGCAGCCATGTCAAACACACCGCTTCGTGGTACAATCTAAAATTCGGCAATTGAAAACCTCCTCTATCTTTCGCATCTTGTAAGATTTTTTGTTTGATTCTGGGTTTTCTTCCTGCCCATACAAATTTTGAAATCTCTTTTTGCCACCTTTGAAAATTTTTTACATCTTTAACAATTGGGATCACTTGAAACAAAAACATCAATCTTGGTAATACATTCATTTTGACTACTGACTACGCTTTCACCTTTCTTGATAGGGAAAGTGTTCCAACCCTTTTATCATTCTAGTTGCCATTTTCTGCACTTTTTCCAAAGCTGTAATATCCTTTTTAAGGTGTGGTGACCAGAACAGTACACAGTACTCGAAATGAGGTCGCACCATTAATTTATATGGGGGGCATTATGATATCGGCTGATCTGCTTCTCCATTGTGTAGGCTCTTTCATGATATGGAAGAATGCAACTCGTACTGAATCTCTTTCCACACCCCAAACATTAAAAAGAATTCTCCCGTGTGTGGGTTCTTTGATGCTTTTGAACATGGCTTCTCTGACTGAATCTCTTACCACACTCTGAACATTCAAAAGGTTTCTCTCCTGTGTGGGTTCTTTGATGATCCTGAAGATAGCTACTCTGACTGAATCTCTTTCCACACTCTGGACATTCAAAAGGTTTCTCCCCTGTGTGGGTTTTTTGATGCTTTTGAACATTGCTTCTCTGACTGAATCGCTTTCCACACTCTGAACATTCAAAAGGTTTCTCCCCTGTGTGGGTTTTTTGATGCTTTTGAACATTGCTTCTCTGACTGAATCGCTTTCCACACTCTGAACATTCAAAAGGTTTCTCCCCTGTGTGGGTTCTTTGATGGTTTTGAAGATTGCTACTGATACTAAATCTCTTTCCACACTCTGAGCATTCAAAAGGTTTCTCCCCTGTGTGGGTTCTTTGATGATACTGAAGATGGCTACTCATACTGAATCTCTTTCCACACTCTGGACATTCAAAAGGTTTCTCCCCTGTGTGGGTTCTTTGATGGTTTTGAACATGGCTTCTCTGACTGAATCTCTTTCCACACTCTGAACATTCAAAAGGTTTCTCCCCTGTGTGGGTTCTTTGATGGTTTTGAAGATGGCTACTCATACTGAATCTCTTTCCACACTCTGAGCATTCAAAAGGTTTCTCCCCTGTGTGGGTTCTTTGATGATACTGAAGACTGCTACTCATTCTAAATCTCTTTCCACACTCTGAACATTCAAAAGGTTTCTCCCCTGTGTGGGTTCTTTGATGGTTTTGAAGATGGCTACTCATACTGAATCTCTTTCCACACTCTGAGCATTCAAAAGGTTTCTCACCTGTGTGGGTTCTTTGATGATACCGAAGATGGATACTTTTACTGAATCTCTTTCCGCACTCTGAACAATCAAAAGGTTTCTCCCCTGCATGGGTTCTTTTATGCAAATAAAGATTGCCACTCGTACTGAATCTCTTTCCACACTCTGAACATTCATATGGTTTCTCTCGTGTGTGGGTTCTCTTATGCACTCGAAGAGTGCCACTTGTAATGAATCTCTTTCCACACGCTGAACATTCAAAAGGTTTCTCCCCTGTGCGTGTTCTTTTTGGACGTTGAAAATGGCCATTCAAACTCAATTTTTTTGCGTATTCAAGAGGTTTCTCTCCTCTACTTATTTGTCGGTTCTCAAAAAGCTGTGATTTGTACTTTTCCT